TTATTGGTCTGGTAAAGTTGGAGGTGTGGTCACAAATATACAATAAAAACATACCAACCTGACGTTTCTTTTGCTGCTTAGTATATATGAAAAGTTTTGCAAGACGATCCATTAAGAATTGCAGCCTGAGGGTTGGGCATGCACTGAAAACAATAGTCATCATCCTTAGAGTATAAGGAATAAGTATGCAAAGTTTCAAGAACATGCGTTAAGAATTGTGGCCTGTAGTTTTCAGTGATAGTGTACCACAACATTACTGTACTTCAACTTTCTAAGCACACAAAACAAGTTTTACCTGTTTTAAAAGCAAACTTAAATTGAAACGATACTCCTTGTAGCCAAAATGAGTCTATATTCTTATTCTACATTATGGGTTGCTTTAAAATGACAAATATGAGGGGCCTAAATCTTTAATCTAATTGTCAAAGCCCAATATTCTAATTTGTGAAGTGGAATAACCATTTTTTTGTTCATTTGTGAGACAAAATAAAATTAAAACAATACACTGTAGATCCAAAATGATTGTTTATTCGTAATCTACGCAGACATTTACTCTAAATAGACATGTTTGAGGGGTATCTTCATTTGGACGTAATTTTAAAATCAGTGTGAAAAGTGAACAATTTTGATAATAGCCATTAAAACTTCATCACTGCACAGATTTCAAGTGCCAATTAAAAATATAAGCCATCAAATAAACAAGATGGACTTTAATGTTTGTTATAGAAGGATAATTGAAGTTTCATTATCAAACTTTTTATATGCCCACATTTTCATGTGGACGTATATTGTCGTCGCCCCTGTCCGTCCGTCCGTCCACAATTGTTTGTGAACAGTCTACAGGTCACAATTTTTATCCGATTTCAATGAAACTTAAAATATAGGTTTATCACCCTAAGATCTCGGTTCCTTTCGATATTGGCATGTATCGGACCGTAACTTCATGGATTATGGCCCCTGATTGTACGAAAAATCACGTTTTTAGCTTGTGAACACTGTAGAGGTCACAATTTTTATCCGATTTGGTTTTAACTTGAAATGTTTGCTTATAACCCAAAGATCTCGGTTCCTTTCGATATTCGGTCATATCGGACCGTAACTTCCTGAATTATGGCCCCTGATTGTATGAATAATCGCGTTTTTAGCTTGTGGACTCTATAGAGGTCATAATTTTTATCCGATCTAAAAAAAGGTATTATTATATCACCATCACACCCTAAGGTCGGCTGAGCTCGAATTTCGTGAAAATCGGCCCAAAACTGACAGACAAAATGGCCGCCCTTCGTTCTCAAATAGCCTAAAAATATGGTATATCAAGGTTAATGTGGACCCTATAGAGGTCACAATTTTTATCCGATTTTGTTAAAACTTGAAATGTAAGTTCAAAACACAAAGATCTCGGTTGCTTTCGATATTTGCACATATCGAATTGTAATTTCCTGAATTATGGCCCTTGATTGTAGGAAAAATCACTTTCTTTTTAGCTTGATCTCTATCTATCTCTCGAAAATGTGGGCGTATCCTGCCTGGCAGCCGCTGGTTCAGAATTTTAAACCTCTGTCCCACATGGCCAAAATTGAGGGTGAATATGGGTATATTTTGTACGTTTTCAGTGTGCATTGATTTCAAGACTGAATGTTTGGAAAAGTATATATCCCATCGGCTCAGTGTAGCACCATAAGCCTTTTTGTCAGACGTGGAGAGCGGGAATGCCAGACCGGTCGCCACATCCTACGTACGACCCATGCATCTTTTCTTACTACGTACATATTTCAGTAGCCTTGTGATCGTCTAGAATTTGTCTCTAGCTGTCTTTGCTTCTCCTTCACATTGTGTGTTTGCTTCTTACTGTATTCTTAAGACGTTTGTCTTACCAGGAATAACAATGCAACAGTTCGCCTCTACATTTTATATAGCATAGCCGAATACATGTATACTAGCACAGATTACAATACTAGCTAAAATCATTTCTCCACCCTAGCCAGCCTCGCGGCTGTCTAGGAACTCAGATGGAACCTCTCTGGAATCTAATGGAAGTCTGCTTGAAAGTTTCAAATAGATATCTTATATAGCACTCACATATATCACGCATAACAAAGCGTGTTCATGGCCCTGAACTTGTGTAATTTCTGATATGATTGGTTAAGTTAAGCCAAATGATGCAATTAGAATAATTCCACTCACGTGTAATCTGGTGGGATTTTATTGACACATGTTTTGGCTAAATAACTCTTTTTATGTGTCAACTGTCAATTACAGACTAAGTTGACTTTAGTACAATTCTACATATGTGAATATGTTTGAAACTATTAATTTGCAAAATATATTAATTAATGAATTATACTGACACCATTAATTTCAAGAGCAAAAATTCTAGCAATATTATTTACATCAGAATCTTTTGTAAATTGATGTAAGACAAACTATGCCAATTTTGGAGGTTGTGTATATAAATAGTGACTTTGCCAGAGGCTGTGGAAAACCTGAAAAAAAAGTGAATAGTTCATTTGTTCCGCATTTTGGCACCTGGTGGCACGAACAGTGTGAATCGCACATTGCATGTGATGCTAAATTCGTAATCTACACCAAAAGTTGTCTTAGATTACAAAGTTAGAGAGTTCTACTCCTGTTATGAATGTGAGTTTAGTTTAAAGCACCCGAAAACCTGAAAAAAAATACTGAATTTATGATCGGTTTCAGTACCCTAATTTTAAATGGCCATATCTCAGCGAGTGTTCGACCTAAAGAGGTATAATTTTGCAAGTAAAATATCTATATTTTCCATTTTGTTTTTAATGGACTATATATATGATTGCTCTTGAGGATCAATTGTTTATTGAATTATAGAAGTCAAAGATCTTTATTAAAAATTGAATTGTAGTTTTGTTTGTGCCCACATTTTAACGATCCTGTCGGTCTGTTCCCACTTCCTTAACCTTCAAGATATTAGTTTATTAAAAAAATAATAGATAAAGGTTACATTTGCACTTTATGATTTAAAACGACACCTTCAGTATTCGTAAGTTTTTTGATTTACAATAGACATGCACGTTCATCACAACTGATTTATTTTTGTTCACTCACATTGCTTGTCAATCAATTTGTTGATTGGTGTAGCCACTTTTGTTATTGCTTGTGTTTTAATTTATTATACATGATGATATACTACCTCTGGAATTTACCTGAAATAAAAGAAGAAAGTTTTTTGGAACATTATTTTCGTTACTGTTGCTTTTGAATACTTTAAATATCTACAAATGAAAGCTAGAGTTATACCCCTTTAAGCATATTGACAATTCTCACACCGTACCAGAAATGTGTGATTAAAACAGAAGCAGTAGTCTACCATCATTAAATGAATTCTTTTAAATTATTTAATTGATAGACATTATCTTTCATTCTTTGTTACTCTTTGGAAAGTCGTGGATGGGGTGCCACAGCTTCTTGTTAGGCATTTTGAATCCAGTTGTTGTACGCCACAATTTGGTCTGCACATATTTCTTTGTTTTAATGAAACTTGGTGTCTTATATATATGATTTCAAAATATAAACTCGTTTCATCAATTGCAGGGTTATTCTTGCCTTTTCAGCCTAAATACATGTCGCCTGTGAATGCAGTAGACTCTTATCTCTTCCCTCAGGTGATAATAAAACTTTCTTTGTGGTTTTGTATTCATGAGATCTTCAATTAAGATTCAGTAGGTTCACATTTTGAACAATTGGTATATAATAACTGGTGTGTTTCCCCCTGAGCTGCATTGACATGATAGCCTATAGTGATTTTCAAGATGTTTGGTAGACACTCATCCCTTGCTCAAGGTAGGCCAGTGCCAAGATGTTCAATAATTAAGTGAGCCTGGGGCTATTTGAAACTTGGTTATACATGAAATAATTAAATTTAATTTCTAATGCCTCAATAAACCTACAACAGCCTGTTGAAAATTGAGTGTTTTTTGCTGATGGCCTACGATCATTGTACTACAATGACAGAATAACTTCTGGATTCATTGTTAATCCTGTTCTTCATATATGCCAGTACTTCATATTCACATAGATCTATATACATAATAGGTACAAAACAGCAATTTGAGATATGTACGTCTACTTAGTCAAGGATGAGACATGACATTATTTTAGTATTAACTTTTAACAAATTTTCCCAGTTGCTTATCTTGAGTTCCGAAACCCTGTTAACCCTATTAGAGGTCATAATTGTGATTCAATCATTTTGGAATGTTTATTTGATAATTTTAAATAATTTCTAACAATTACTCCCATAGGCGTATGGCCTGATTGTCCTTTTAAGGGCGGTGGTGGGGGATGGGTGGCTGTATCGTTTTTGCCCCAAAAAATGACGGCAGTGCCTGAAAAATGAACCTACATAACTTTACCACAAATATTAGCAAGTAGCAACTGGCAGAGCGAATTTTTCTGCAGTTTGAGTTGGAGAACTAGACACCCTGAATCAAGGAAATCCTGGTGAATTAATTGGATTGATGCACTTTAGAATGTCGACTTTCATTTCATTTCATTTTCCTCAGTTTACAGAAAGTAAGATTTATTCACCTTAGTATATAAGCTTGTTTCCCGACTAACAAAGAAAGCATTGAACTATAAACATGGGTTAGTCTGTCCGTCCGTCACACTTTTTAGGACCCAATACGCCTGCTTTTAATTAAGCCACAATGTTTAAAGTTGCAGTTGTTTATTAGGTTAATGCCTTGCTGCTAGGGTTATGAAGAGTGATAAATAAGTTGATTGCTAGATGCTTTATAAAAACATAATGAGCAAGAAATTGATAAGTTTGATCTACACATATTTATTATGGGATTGAGTCTCACTGTTGGCTTGTTAACATTCAAGGTGTCACATTCATGACTAGATCCTTTTGCTTATTTCTTTAAGAGAATTTCTCCCTTGATACCCAAGATTACCCCTTTGATTACCAACTTTTGTTAATGAAAGGATTACTTTTTAATTTTACCCCTTATTTTTTTTAGCCTAGTGAAAACCCAGACTATACTCATCGTCTAGAACAACTGGAAAGTCAGATATCACAGCTATTGAATAAAAATCAGGTTTGTCAGATTTCTGTGGTAAATAACTATGATTTAGAATATAGTTGTTATGTTCTTTACTTTTTTAGATTTATTTACCATCTTTTGGCTTACAGTAATATATGTATATAACATTGCGTTTAGACCTCAGAGCCATGGTGACTTAGCGAGTAAGGTGCTGGCTCACTAACAAGGAGATCTGGGGTTCAATCCTAGAGTTATATGAGAAATTGCATCAGGATTTTCTAGCGTGGTTTTCCCTTGTCTGTGGTGACAGATGGAAGAAGGGTCTGGCAAGGAACAGTGTTTAGTTGTTTGGATGTTACAAAAAACTGCGGTCCCATATAAAGGTTGGCATGCATGTAAAAGAATTTTTGACCAGTTGGAATGCCAAAAAAGAGCAGGCTATCCAGACAATTTTCAAAATTGCACACTACAAGGTGTGTTTGCCTGGTGGGTGCAGAAAAGCAGTATGTTAAACCCCATTCGTTTTCATTTGAACTCCATTGAAAAAGGCAATTTTAGGCCACAAAATAAAATATTTTGTTTCTCCTTATCCCAAAATTGATGTGGAAGGGCTTTTGGTGCTTTTTGATGCGGATGTATTATGTCGTCACCACTGTCTGTCCGGATGTCCGTCCACAATTTGTTTGTGGACACTCTACAGGTTACAATTTTTATCTGATTTTGATGAAACATGAAATATAGGTTTATATCCCAAAGATTACGGTTCCATTCAAAATTAACATGTATCGGACCGTAACTTCATTTATTATGGCCCCTGATTGTACGAAAAATCATGTTTTCAGCTTGTGGACACTCAAGGGGTCACAAATTTTATCTGATTTAGATGAAACTTCAAATGTACATGTATGTTTATAACCAAAAGATCTTGGTTCCTTTCAATATTCTCGCATATCGGATTGTATGTAAAATGGCGTTTTTAGCTTGTTGCCCCTCTAGATGTCACAATTTTTCATGTGGACGTATATTGTCGTAGCTCTGTCCGTTCGTCTGTCCACAATTTGTTTGTGGACACTCTACCGGTCACAATTTTTATTCGATTTTGACGAAACTTTAAATATAGGTCTATCTCCTAACGATCTCGGTTGCTTTCGATATTATATATTAGCATATATCGGACAATAACTTATGCCCCCGGATTGTACGAACAATCACAATTTTAGCTTGTGAACACTCTAGAAGTCACAGTTTTTATCTTATTTTGATGAATCTTGAAATGCATGTTTATAACCCAAAGATCTTGGTTCCTTTCGATATTTGCTGCATATCAGATTGTAACTTTCTGAATTATAGTCCCTGATTGTTTATAACTCAAAGATCTTGGTTCCTTTCGATATTCACGCATATTGGATCATAACTTCCTGAATTATGGCCCTTGATGGTATGAAAAAACATACTTTTAGCTTGTGGTCCCTTTTATCCGATTTAACAAAACATTTGAATATATATCACAGTTACACCCTAATGATGGTTGAGGTTGAATTTCGTGAAAATTGGACCAAAACTACCAGACAAATTGTCCGCCCCTTGTATGCAAATAGTGTAAATATATGGTATATCAAGGTTGTGGACCCTCTAGAAGTCACAATTTTGATCCGATTTTGATGAAACTTGAAATATATCTTTGTGGTCCCTCTAGGACTAACAATTTTTATCCGATTTAACAAAACATTTGAATATATATCACAGTTACACCCTAATGATGGTTGAGGTTGAATTTCGTGAAAATTGGACCAAAACTACCAGACAAATTGTCCACTCCTTGTATGCAAATAGTGTAAATATATGGTATATCAAGGTTGTGGACCCTCTAGAAGTCACAATTTTGATCCGATTTTGATGAAACTTGAAATATATCTTTGTGGTCCCTCTAGGACTAACAATTTTTATCCGATTTAACAAAACATTTGAATATATATCACAGTTACACCCTAATGATGGTTGAGGTTGAATTTTGTGAAAATTGGACCAAAACTACCAGACAAATTTTCCACCCCTTGTATGCAAATAGTGTAAATATATGGTATATCAAGGTTGTGGACCCTCTAGAAGTCACAATTTTGATCCGATTTTGATGATACTTGAAATATATCTTTATGACCCAAAGATCTTGGTTCCTGTAAATATTTGCGCATATCAGAATCAGATCGTAACTTCCTGAATTATGGCCCTTGATTGTATACGCCCACATTGATATTTGGTCATATATTGTCATCGCCCCCATCAGTCTGCCGTCCACAATTGCTTGTGGACGCTCTAGAGGCTAAAGTTAATATACGATTGACTTTAAATTTTCTACACAGTGTTTAAGGTTATGGGACGAAGAAACCTATTGATTTTCAGTGATTTCCGATAATTACTGCCAGAGGTATGACCCTTGATCACTTTGAAAAATCTTGTGGACGCTCTAGAGGCTAAAGTTAATATACGATTGACTTTAAATTTTCTACACAGTGTTTAAGGTTATGGGACGAAGAAACCTATTGATTTTCAGCGATTTTCGATAATTACTGCCAGAGTTATGGCCCTTGATCACTTCAAAAAATCTTGTGGACGCTCTAGAGGCCAAAGTTAATATCTGATTGACGTTAAATTTATACACAGTGTTTTATACACAGTGTTTAAGGTCATGAGACGAAGAAGCCTATTGATTTTCAACGATTTCTAATAATTACTGTCATAGTTATGGCCCTTGATCACTTTGAAAAATCTTGTGACTCTCTAGAGGCTAAACTTATCATCTGATTGACTTCAGATTGGGACGAACAAGTATATTGATTTCCAATGAATTTTGATAACTGAACAGCTAAATCCATGATATTATATGTTTCGTATACTAAACATTAGCATGGGGCAGAACTTTATAAAAACCAATCAAATTCTAATGATTTTCTGATAATTACTTAATGAGTTGTTACTCCTAATCAGATTTTAGTGTATTATAAATGTTTCATTACCGAAAAAAGTAAAAATATGCGACAAGTCTTGTTGACTGTCTGGACGATTTAGCTGCTGTAGGTGTATGTTTCGTTGCCTGGCAACCTATCTTGTTTAGCTTATTCTCTATCCATCTCTTGCAAAATGTGAGCGTATCCTGCCTGGCAGCCACTGGTCTGATTTAAAAACACGTTCGATTATAACTTTTAACGTTTAGATGAATGATGGACAGAGACATGGTGACAACAATATATCACTAATGTGGGAATATTGAAATGAATATTTTTACCAATTTTGTATGTAAGTTATCACAAATGCTAGGCCATTCATGGAATATACATGAAGTTATAACAAATATTTTGAAGGCTTGATATCTTTACTCTAAGTAATTGATGTTTTTTTAGCGTACCTTGGTTGGGATTTTTGTGTAAAAAGACAATCCGTGTAGTTTTTGACACATTTTACCTCTATATTGTACTGGACAAGTCGGTAGAATATACCATAATTATGGAGCTACAAAAGTTCAAAGGGTTAGTTTATTTATGTTCATTCGGTTATAAAACCATTATTCAGAAAAATAAATCAGTTTCAGGCGGTATATTTATTTGATGCCATCACCATGACAATTAGAACACATAATTGCTAGAGTAACTAGACATTTTCATTGTATAGTACATGATAGACCAAAAAGTTGTACAATAGTAAGCTGTCTTTGACATTACAACATACAGAAAAGAAAATCCATAGAGAATCTCTTGACATTGTTGATATTGTTGACTGGATTTGTCCTGTGTACTTCCTTCTAGTCTTATGAAATAATGAAATAAACACACTCTTTAAAGATGGATGACAAGCTTATCTCAAAAGTCAAAATTATTAACTATTTTAATGCAAAGACTGTTAATAAATACATCCAAGTATAAGAAGAATGCTTTTATAAGGTCTTTTTCTTAAGAAACATAGTTGGTGGCATAGTGTGAAATTAATTGAACAGGCATTATGCAAGAGCTAGATCTACAGTGTTTTTGAAATGAGGTTTTCTCAGCTCAGAGTGGTAATTTGTCTGAAAAGAGAATATGCTGAAAATTTCTGTCAAATTACTTCACTATGAGCTGAGAAATCCTCATTTTAATAACACTGTAGCCCGATTGTCATTGTTACTTTTGTTATTTATTTGAGGATTTCGGGGGGGGGGGGGGACATCAGCCTCACTGTTGGCTTGTTCACTTAAATATTCACTCCCTGACAAAACTGATGGACGATGTAGCTGCTGTGAATGTATGTTTGGTTGCCTGAAAAGCTGTCTCCTGGTTTGTGTTAGCTCTAGGAAGACTACAAGCCTATCAAATTTTTTCATGGTTTGGATGACTTAGCTGCTGTGGGTGTATGTTTTGTTGCCTGGAAACTCATCAACCTTGTTTGAGCAATAAACATTTATATAACCCTTACCACTAAACTTTGTGTTAGACCTGTGCGTGGTTGCTTAAAATTAAATTTTCCCTCAAATAAAAAATAAAATAAAAAATCAGATTGGTTCTATCTTACTATAATGTGATCACTAAGGTAGCTACATTCACTCAGATGAATTACAGTACACTTCTACTAAATTTCCCCGCGGTCTGACCTGGGCAGAAATGAAAAATCGCGGACGTCAGTTAATCAATCCGCTCTGGCCACGCTCAAAATTCTGCTCTAAATTCCCCCCGCGAATTTAAGTAAAGAGCCGACCTCCGCGATTATTTTAAACCGCCGCCCACCGCGAAATTTTAAATTTCCACGCATGTACAGTCAGCACATCAATAGCTGGTTTGAAATGGGTTTATTTATCGTGCGATTCCATGGCAGTGATATCGTAGTCGAATATCAGCTAATTCGACATGCAAAAAAAAGATTGTTAATTTAACACGGTTAGACACGTAGATTTTCCTGGCTTATATTGAAAAATAACAAATATTAAACAGGCTTTTAAATAATAAAATAAACAGAATTATGGCTGTACCGATACATTACTCCATCAATATGTTCGACATTTTTAAGACTTGCATCGATGGACTATTTCAAACTCATTCAAATTACGAAAATTCCAAAGTTTACACACATAGTACATAGATGCTGTTCTTACCGTGGGCGAAAGTTTTGTCCATCGAAATAGCAATTTCCATTCTGACAAATAAGTCACACAATGCATTTAAAATTGATAAATCACACCTGAATAAGTGATATATCTTCGGGTTTAAATCAAAAATGAATTAAATGCCTTCATGTCCTGTTTTTAAGCACACATAGCCAGAAGTCACCGTCAACCTTGCTGAACACATGTACATTAACATGTATTACTCGGATAATACCTTGATGGCCTTTTCATTTCGGCACCAAAGAGTCTGAGTCAATGCATACTGTCAGTCAAGATTCCTAAATAATTACTTGAATTCACACGTGTCATCAAAAGGAATTGATAATTGACTAAAATAGAAGCCCCTTTAACAACAAATTATTACCATGTCGTATTCTCGTAAACAATACTTTTATTCTGAATTGTCAGTAAGTAATCATTATCCAAAATAGTTGACCTCATTATTAAAGAACAATTACAATTGGGACGCGACCAATCTGGATTTTCACACAAAATAGGTGCCGTTGTCATGGCTAAATTACGAACGGGCTACGATGAATAGCACACCCCCACCCCCCTACAATATACATCCTGTATTACTGCCAGTAGGTTACAAGGGATTCTATTAATTTTATTTACGATAAAACTCGGGATTTAAAAAATTTGGATATAAGAGATAATTCAATTTTTGAATCGGTACAGACTTAAAGGTTGGCAAATGCACCGTATGAAAAAAATACTTAATCATCATATTCGCAGTTGACATATTCTGTTAATAAAATCATTCGTTGAACCGGTGGTGATATTTTTTTTTTAATTTTGCACAAAAATCATCCCTTATATCCACCATGCCCCTTTAACAAATGCATGCTTTTTTGTTAGGCAATTTCCTTTGTACTCTCTGATGTGTTCTCTTTGATGTGAGTAATTGTCGCCTCGGTTACTATTAATAATCTAAATTCTGTCCGGACAAGATTCCATTCATAAGAACTTGTTGTTAGGTGTTTTAGTGAAAGCGTCTTCGATATGTTCACGGAAGCAAATGAAAATTAAGATTTGTTTCTGTGATAATTATTGGAAACCGAACCGGATTATTATGGATTATTATTTAGGATATTTATCATCTACTGTATAAATCTGTATCTTAAAGTCAAATACGAAACTGAAATAGTAAATAGTCTTCCAGCTTCTATCCAATACATGACATTTAATTTTGGGGACATAAAATATATATTGAACGTTGGTTGCCGAATCGTCATTTTAATTGACTTATTGTTAAACTAAATATCGGGGAGAAAATATACCTTCCTCGCAAGTTATGCCAATTCGGATTAACTAATGACATAGAAAATTGCTATGTGTATGTGCTTTGTGGTACGATTCACGAATTAAATACCGATGTACATTATAAATGAATCCAGCATTACATACATTTTAGGAAACGAATGCAATACATTGGTACACTTTAGTTATTTTTCAAAACGCAATTTGAAAAGAGTATTATGAATGAATTACTGGTGAACTAAAATGAATAATATACTCGTGATATTGTTCCATTAGATATGTGTTTCTTTCTAATAACGTGTGACAATATGGACTAAATTACTCTATTTTGAATACTGTGGACCATAATCCTCCGCGAATTTTATGTTTCCACCGACTATAATCCACCGCGAATTTCATATTTTCGCGGACAATAATCCACCGCGAATTTTATATTTTCGCAGACTTTTTTCCTCCCAGAATGTCTCTAATTCTGAGGAGTGTATATGAGAAAAAAAACGCGATTTTCAGAGAAAAAAACGCCCACAAGGACTAATTTCACACATCCGCCAGAAGTTTTCTGTACACTCTAATGATGGTCAAGTTTGAATTTCGTGAAAATGGCCGCCCCTCGTAATCAAATATATGGTTTATCAAGGTTGTGAATCCTCTAGAGGCCACAATTTATATTTATATCACAAAGATCGTGGTTCCTTTCGATAATCGTGCATATCTGAACGTAACTTCCTGGATTATGGCCCCTGATTGGTCGAAAAATTGCATTTTTAGCTTGTGGACCCGCTAGAAGTCACAAGTTGTATTCTTTTTTAAAAAGCATTTAAATGTATCACCGTTACACTCTAATGACGGTTGAAAATCGGACCGAAACTGCCTGACAAAATGGCCGCTCCTTGTATGCATATAGTGGAAAAGTATGTAATACCAAGGTTGTGTCCTCTTTAGGAGTCCCAATTTTGACGAAACTTAAAATAATCTTTATTTCCTAAATATCTCAGTCCATTTCGATATTCGCACATTTCAGACCATAACTTCCTAGATTATGGCCCCTGATTGTGCGAAAAATTACTTCTTTTTTTTTAGTTTGTTCTCTATCCATCTAATGAAAATTTGGGCGTATCTTGCCTGGCAACCACTGGTTTTAGATTGTTTACCTGGACGGTTTTTATATGGCTATATTTTCATGTAGACGTATATTGTCGTCGCCCTTGTCGGACCATCTGTCCACAATTTGTTTGTTGACACTCTACAGGTCACAATTCTTAACTGATTTTCATGAAACTTGGAATATAGTTTTATCTCCCAAAAATCTCGGTTCCTTTCAATATTCGTGCATATTGCACTGTATCTTCCTGGAAAATGGCCCCTGATTGGATGAAAAAATCGCAATTTTAGCTTGTGAACCCCCTAGGTCAGAATTATTATCCAATTTTGACAATTGTTTAAAGTTGCAATTTCATATTTTTACGTTATATTTTTAAAATTTATTGAAATAAAGCCTTAAAATAGATGGTATCTATAAACAGTCCTACCTTGTTAAAGAATAATCCTATTAATCCTATAATTCACTATTGCCAGTTGAGAAATTGGCAAAAATATCATTTTCCTCTTCAAATTCAAATGTTTGAGGATAGCTACTCCATTTTGGAGAATAGAAAACAAGGGGGGTAATTGGGAGGTAATTGTGTTATTATTTCCGGTGTAAATGAGTTTTAAATGTGAGAATGACACCTATGATCGTATAATAGTCAGTTGACAACCTATTGAGCAAAAGACTTAGAAATAATTATGTTTTGACTTTCTTGGAAAATATGAAATTATAACTTTAAATATATCACCATTGCACTCTGATGATAATTGAGTTCGAATTTCGTAAAAATTGTACCAAAACTAACCAGCAGAATGGCCGGGGCAGACTTAGTGTAGCCACCAACCCCGAACAGACCGGCTTCGCTCGGGGTTCATAACTCCGAAACCGGAAGTGGTAGACTAACGCCACCTGACCCATGTTACTCCCCGGTTCGAGCTTCCCCTATACCCCAAATTTCAGATTTGGGGCAGACCTAGTGTAGCCGCCAACCCCGAACAGACAGACTTCGCTCGGGGGTCATAACTCCGAAACCAGAAGTGGTAGACTAACGCCACCTGGCCTATGTTACTTCCAGGTCCGAGCTACCCCTATACCCCAAATTTCAGACTCGGGGCAGACCAAGTGTAGCCGCCAACCCCGAACAGACCAGCTTTGCTCGGGGGTCATAACTCAGAAACCGGAAGTGGTAGACTAACGCCACCTGGCCTGTGTTACTTCCCGGTCCAAGCTACCCCTATACCCCAAATTTCAGACTCGGGGCTGATGTAGCCGCCAACCCAAAACAGACAGACTTCGCTCGGGGGTCATAACTCCGAAACCGGAAGTGGTAGACTAACACCACCTGGTCTATGTTACTCCCCGGTCCGAGCTACCCCTATACCCAAACTTCAGACTCGGGGCAGACCTAGTGTAGCCGCCAACCCCGAACAGACCTAGTGTAGCCGCCAACCCCGAACAGACCAGCTTCGCTCGGGGGTCATAACTCCGAAACCGGAAGTGGTAGACTAACGCCACCTGGCCTATGTTACTCCCCGGTCCGAGCTACCCCTATACCCCAAATTTCAGACTCGGGGCAGACCTAGTGTAGCCGCCAACCCCGAACAGACAGACAGACAAACGACAGTCACAAATATATATATAGATGTATGTATATATTTTTACCTTACAGCAGGTATATGTTGCTGAATCTAGTAGACCTACAGATAAAGAAAACAGATCACTTGTGCATTCTGCAAAACTTCAAGCTGAAAGAGGTAATTTTACATGTAATTTATTTGAATTAAAAGGATAACAATACTCAAAATCCAGTAATCCCATGAGAAAACCATGCAAAAGCATTTAAAAGTAGGGGTTGGAAGTTTTGATTTATATTCTCAGAATTTGTTTACTCATATGGATCTACTTGGGAGCCAAAATAGTTTTAAAAAATATTGAGCCATTTTGGAGATACAGATACGGTTGTGATTGAGACATAGCCATAGACAGAACGTCAAGCTATAAATCATTGACTTCATACTACCAATCACTGTCCTGACTACTATCATTATCAACTAACAAATTATGTGTATCATCCGCCTCGAAATTGTCCTCACTGTCTTGGTCAGCAACAATCTGATTAAAACACAGATCCAATTTTGTTTCGTTTTTATAGTTCAAAATTTCGATTTTACTTGTCTTTACTACACTTGGATCTGGAAGCGTTGTTATTTAACTTGTGTTCTGCTTGAAATGAGGGGTCAGCCAATCAAATGGTCTGTCGAATCGAGCGTTTGACCTTTTTTGCGTGGAACTGTGGGTAGACATTAGCGGCAATAGATTAGAAATCAAAACAAATCAATAGTAGATAAAAAATACATGGCGGTTGCTAATTGGTAAATCGAATGACTGACGTAATCGGGTTAAATGTCGCTTGCTTGGTACCTGGCATCATAGAATGTGAACTCCCATTATAACTTGTTAGATCTACATGTAGTGTAGGCCATCGAAAGTATAAAAAACGAAACGAAATATAGATCCATATTTTAATTAGATTGGGTCAGCAAAGATGTCATTTAAGATTTTGTCGAGAGTGAATCATCTATGTGGGACTCTGCTCTCCGCCATTTTACGGTGTGCCGCCTTAAAACAAGTGGAAATATGTTCTAGTGTATAGAAAAAAAAACATAGACCACAGCGTAGTTTCACATTTTTACTTTGGTAGCAGAAAAAAACAAATGATCCTCTGTAAACTGCATTGTTATAAAAGTAATCATAATTTTCACAAATTCCTAAATTAGTTACAGGTCCTTCAATTTTATTGGAGTCCTTTGTACATTGGAACCCTGTCCCACCCACCATACATTGGGTACAGGCAACAAGAGCTGCCTAAGATTTTGAAGTAATGAATTTAAACTAAGCAGTCGAGTATCAACCCTTCCTTGGTCCTGATGCTAGCTAACACTTGATTATATTTTTTATACACCCACATTTTCATGTGGATGTATATTGTCGTCGCCCCTGTCCGTCCATCCGTCCGTCCACAATTGTTTGTGAACACTCTACAGGTCACAATTCTTATCCGATTTCAACGAAACTGGAAATATAGGTTTGCCTCCCCAAGATCTTGGTTCCTGTCGATATTGGCATGTATCGGACTATAACTTCATGGATAATGGCCCCTTATTGTATGAAAAATCACAAGTTTTTAGCTTGTAAACACTGTAGAGGTCACAATTTTTATCCGATTTGGTTTATACTTGAAATATATGTTTATAACCAACAGATCTCGATTCCTTTCGATATTTGCGCATATCGGACCATAACTTCCTGAATTATGGCCCCTGATAGTATGAAAAATCGCGTTTTTAGCTTGTGGACCCCATAGAGGTCACAATTTTTATCCGATTTAAAAAAACGTGTGAATATATCACCGTTACACCCTAAGGATGGTTGAGTTTGGACCGAAACTGATGGACAAAATGGCCGCCCCTTGTTCGCAAATAGTGTCAAAATATTGCGTATCAGGGTTGTAGACAATTTTCATCTGATTATGATGAAACTTGAAATGCATGTTTATAACCCTCATATCTCAGTTCCTTTCGATATTCGCGCATATCGAACTATAACTTCCTGAATTATGGCCACTGATTGTACGAAAAATCGCGTTTTTAGCTTGTGGACCCTATAGAGGTCAGAATTTTTATCCGATTTAAAAAAACATTTGAATATATCACCGTTACATGTACACTCTAAGGATGGTTGAGTGTGAATTTCGTAAAAATCGGACCGAAACTGACGGACAAAATGGCCGCCCCTTGTTCGCAAATAGTGTCAAAATATTGTGTATCTGGGTTGTCGACCCTTTGGAGGTCACAATTGTCATCTGATTTTGATGAAATTTGAAATGCATGTTTACAACCCAAATATCTTGAATCCTTTTTATTTTCGTGCATATCGCATGGTAACTTCCCGAATCATGGCCCCTGATTTTACGCAAAATCGCATTTTTCGCTTGTGGTCCCTCTAGAGGTCACCATTATTATCCGATTTAAAAAAACGTTCGAATATATCACCGTTACACCGTAAGCCTGTCTGAGGATGAGTTTCATGAAATTGGACCAAAATTGCCAGACAAAATGGCCGCCCCTCGTACGCAAATAGTGTAAACATCTGGTATATCAAAGTTGTGGACCCTCTAGAGGCCACAATTTTGATCCGATTTTGATGAAACTTGAAATGCAAGTTTATAACCCAAAGATCTTGGTTCCTTTCAATATTCATGCATATCAGATCGTAACTTCCTGAATTAATTATGGCCTCTGGTTGTACGAAAAATCGCGTTTTTAGCTTGTGGTCCCTCTAGAGGTCGCAATTATTATTTGGTTTAAAAAAATGTTCGAATATATCATCGTTACACCGTAATATTTGTTGACTTCGAATTTCATGAAAATCGGGCCAAAACTGCTGGACAAAATGGCCGCCCTCCGTACGCAAATAGTGTAAACATCTAGTAAATCAAGGTTGATCCGATTTCAATGAAACTTGAAATGAATGTTTATAACCCAAAGATATTGGTTCCTGTTGATATCGGATTGTAACTTTTTGAATTATGGCCCTTGATTGATCAAATAATCACGTTTTTAGCTTGTCCCTGTAGAGGTCACAATTTTTATCTGATTTAAAAAAATGTGTGAATATATCACCATTACACACTAAGATCTTGGTTCCTTTTGATAATCGCGGATACCCGAACTGAAGTTCCTTAATTATGGCTCCTGATTGTTCGAAAAATCGCATTTTTAGCTTGCGGATTCTCTAGAGGTCACAATTTTTTTTCCAATTTTAAAAACCGTTTAAATATATCACCATTCCAACAAAATGGCCGCTCTTTGTATGCAAATTGTGTAAAAGTGTGTAATACGGAGGTTGTGGACTCTCTAGAGGTCACAATTTTTATCCGATTTTGATGAAACTTAAAATATATAGAGGATATTTGTCGTTTTAGAGTGAATAACATATTTTATTTCATCGAGAAGCAAGAAAACTTATATTTTCACGAATGCGTAGCATGAGTGAAAATATAAACGTTTTCTTGCTTAGAGATGAAATAAAATATGTTATTCACGACAAAACGACAAATGTTCTATTTATTTAATGATTTTACAATCATTTTAGGTAAAAACAACATGGACTACTTTGTCCGCTTCTAGTCAGTGGAATAACACTGATAAAACGCGGTATTCCACTACTGATCATAAAATAAATCTTTATATCCCAAAGATCTCAGTCACTTTTGATATTTGCACATTTTAGGCCATAACTTTCTGGATTTTTGCCCCTGATTGAAAATCGCATTTGTTTTTAGCTTGTTCTCTATCCATCTGTTGCAAAATGTGGGCATATCCTGCCTCGCAGCCACTGGTTTAAAGATACATTATGGGAGATCAGATAAAGAGCTGGCAGTTATCACTATAATATTTAACCAGCGGCTGCCAGGCAGGATACGCCCACATTTTCGAGAGATGGTTAGAAAACTAGCTAAAACGAAAGTGATTTTTCCTAAAATCAAGGGCCATAATTCAGGAAATTACAATTCAATATGCGCAAATATCGAAAGGAACCGAGATCTTTGGGTTATAAACTTACATTTCAAGTTTCAACAAAATCGGATTAAAATTGTGACCTCTATAGGGTCAACAACCTTGATATACCATATTTTTACGCAATTTGAGAACGAGGGGCGACCATTTTGTCTGTCAGTTTTGGGACGATTTTCTCGAAAATAGAACTGGGCCGTCCTTAGGGTGTAACCGTGATATAATTATATGGTTCTTTAAATCGGATAAAAATTATGACCTCTATAGGGTCCACAAGCTAAAAACACGATTTATCGAACAATCAGGGGTCATACTTCAGGAAGTTACGGTCTGATATGCGTGAATATTGAAAGGAACCAAGATCTTTGGGTAATAAACTTATATTTCAAGTTTCAACAAAATCGGATAGAAATTGTGACCTCTATAGGGTCCACAACCTTTATATACCATATTTTTACGCTATTTGAGAACGAAGGGCGGCCATTTTGTCTGTCAGTTTTGGGCCGATTTTCACGAAATTCGAACTAAGTCGTCCTTAGGGTGTACCAGTGATATAATATTATGTTTTTTTAAATCGGATAAAAATTATGACCTCTATAGGGTCCACAAGCTTAAAACGCAATTTTTCGTACAATTAGGGGATTCAGGAAAATATGTTCCGATATGCACGAATATTGAAAGGAACCGAGATCTTTGGGTTATAAACTTACATTTCAAGTTTCATCAAAATAGAATTAAAATTGTGACCTCTATAGGGTCCACAACCTTGATATACCATATTTTTACGCTATTTGAGAACGAAGGGCGGCCATTTTATCTGTCGGTTTGGGCCAATTTTCACGGAATTCGAACTCAGCCGTCCTTAGGGTGTAACGGTGATATAATAATACGATTTTTTAAATCGGATAAAAATCGTACAATCAGGGGCCATAATTCAGGAAGTTACGGTCCGATATGCACGAATATCTAAAGGAACCGAGATCTTTGGGTTATAAACTTACATTTCAAGTTTCAACAAAATTGGATAAAAATTATGACCTCTATAGGGTCCACAAGCTAAAAACGTGATTTTTCGTATAATCAGGGGCCATAATTCAGGAAGTTATGTTCCGATATGCACGAATATCGAAAGGAACCGAGATCTTTGGGTTATAAGCATACATTTCAAGTTTAAACCA